AAAAAAAAAAAACGCATGTTTTTTTTTTTTTTTAGATTTTATGCATTTTTATTGACTTCCCCATGCCTGCTATTTTAAAATTTTTGGTTACACTTTATTTTAAGGTGTGCTTGTTACAGTGTAATTATACATTTACTAAGCAATATTAATTAACTACTTGTACTTACTATATGGTTATGGTTAGGATTAGGGTTTGGCTTAGGCTTACTTGCGTGTAATTATGCATAATGTATTGTTATTATAATAGTAAGTACATGTAACATGAGTAACAAGGGCACCTTAAAATAAAGAGTTACCAAATCTTTAAATTCCACAATATTTCCCAATGGTTCACGACTGTGGGAATCCTGTGTGATATATGAAATATGATGAAACATTGTGTTTTACTTTTCACTTTCACTGTTGTATGTTGACAATATTATTTGTAAAAAATAAAAAGGGTATGAAGTTATATTAAAAATGCAAAACAGAAACATTTTCACTAGTGATAGCTAGGGTTGGGAATCGAAAATCAATTCCAATTCCAGAATCGGATACTAAAGGTCAGGAATCGGACACTTGTTGTAAATCAATTCCTGTGTGGGCATCTTTTATTTGTAGCTGCCGAAAAGTGGCTGTTAAAAATGTATTGGTCTTTGAATCATTCATTCAAAAGATTCATTTAAAAACACTGATTCATCCAGTAATGAAACAAGTAAATCTTGAGCGAGTCACTAAATCATTCCATGCATAAATTCCATGAGATTTTGTTTAGTTGTCTTATATTTTTTTCTTCAGAATTGTGAGATAACTACAACCTCCATTTTTATTTTTTTTTTAAGTCTCAATTTATTCAGAATCATGCAGCTCTATTTTGCACACAAACAACTCTTAATCGAGTCCAGTTTTTATGAAGCCGGCTGATTTTTTTTTTATGGTATTCAGCAGCAATTAAACGTTTTTTCAAAAAGAGACACAAAATAAATATGTTTGATATCCAAATGTTTTTTGAATCGAAACTGGGAATCGATCAAGTTCAAACTATACCCAACCCTAGTGATAGCAGAATTTTGGACCTGACTGTAAACCTGTGACATGATAAATGTGCCACGAAAGAGCCATAAGGTGTGGTGTGCTCTTATGTGCGAGTCTCGACAGCATCCTCAAGCCCTCTTGCACTGAAACATCAGCTCCTCTTGCTGTGTGCGGTCTGTTTATGGGCTGAACTGATCTGAGATGTGATGCTGCTGCTGCTGTATGTAGGCCAGATCAAAGATGCCCAATAGCGTCTGCACTCACTGACTGACTGCTGCTGGACTTCATATGTTCACGCAACATTACAGCTCTAGTCTTAAAATAAACGCTGTCATTCATAGCATTGCTCATCTACACTAACGTTAGATTCGTTCAATTGCAACAATGTTTCTACGGCGCTGGCTGTGACGCGACGCTGCACCGAAACATTGTTTCATTCACAAGCTTGTATTTGATCATTACGTAAGCCGAAGTGCGATTATTTTTGCTCCGTATACTCACTTTGTAAGACTGCGTTTGGGCGGCGAGCAGCTTCCAGATCCTTTCGACAGAAACACGTCTTCGAGGAGCAGTTATAACGTCGCTGCATCAAACATCTCCAGCGCTCGCTCTTCTAGCTCATTCTGTGTGCTGCGGCTGATCGCTCAAGTCCCGCCTCCGTGTGTAAACGGCCAATCCTTATCAAGGAAGGATTCTGATGCGCCAATCACAGACCGCCGTGTGACAAAATGAAAGTCGTGGATCACGTTTCGTCATCGCCCAGGCCACGCCAGAATAACATTTTATTTAACCTTACGGCGATTTTTTTCATTAATCGACAAAAGTATATTTAATTATTATTATTTTATTTGTATTTTTGCTAAACACATCATGCGTACTGGCACACAATGGACTGACTTGTTAATATATAACAAGTCCATTGTGTGTCAGTTTGCATGATTGTATCTCTTCACATAACTTAAAATACAATTTTAACGCACTTCATGCCATTTAATTAAAACAATCCCAAGTTGTTGAACATTATTATACAATTAAACCAATAGGGGAGACTGGGACTAGTTGGGACTAGTCACAATTTTTACTGCACAGGCACACAACTTGAAGTCACAAATATAAATAATTAAAAATAAAAATTGACAAAAGACAAATCATTCACGTAACCGTACACTTGACTCAAACGCTTACAGTTACATCTTAAATGAGAGATATAGCTTTGTGCCTCCTCTATACTCCAAAAGGCACAGCAATTTAATTGTGCACTAGTCAGAGGAAAAAAGTGACTCCTCTCACAATTTTGACCTTTTTTTCATTTGTCTTTGGAGTTCTGTCATGTTGTGTGTGTCTTCATGTTTTCAAGAGGGAGTCCAGCTTGTGGTTCCTTATGTAAAACAAGCTCTGGTCCATCCAGCAGACTCTATTCTGAGCTTGAGATAAGGTATATGTTTACATAATTATATACATTTTTACATCAGTGCCAGACTGAGTTCATTTAGACCTGGGCAGTTTCTGAAATCACCTCCTAGGCTATGCAGTTCAGTAAATGTTCTGCTCAGTCTATTTTAGATGAACACCATCCAGTATGTACACGTGGGTCACACGGTGTCTTCCTGTCTAAAGGTGTGTCACATTAGCAAAATTTAGACAAGATTGCATGGGTGAAAAAGCTCCATTGTCTATTGTCAATAGTGATATATGAAGCACAGCTCACACATAAGTCACTTTCAAACCAAGCAGCGTTCTGTCGGTGAAGGAGCTGAATCCACACGATCAACATGAAAATGCAAAATTCCAGATCACATGGACTCATTTTGAAATGACTGGATTTCACCTGTGCAATTTCACTGAGCCACACTACGTGTGAGCACACATTAAGGGACGAGTTCACTAAAAATGTGCTGAAAATGCCCTCCCCCTCAGCCCGTCCAAGATTAGGATGAGTTTGTTTCTTCATCAGATTTGTAGAAATGTAGCATTGCAACATTAAAATCATCTTAATGATGGATTTGTTTCAGCTTTTGTCTTCTCAATATGTTAACTGATGGACTGGAGTGCTGTGGATTACTGTGGTGTTTTTATCAGTTTATTCTGGTTCCTGACCTGATGCTGTTTAACCAGAGGTCTGGCTAAGACTAGTTTAGACCCAGCCTTCAGTGTGTGTTTTGGTGTGGAGAGCAGGGCTCGACTGGTCTGCCTGTAGCCGGACAGTTTCCCAGGCTTCCTCCGCCCCAGGCTCTACAGAGTCCTGAGGGAGCCCTCGGAGCGAGCGTGACACTGCTCTGGACGCCACCGCTCGCACCCAGTGCTCTGACACCCTGTGTCTCTTACCAGCCCCTCGCCTCAGCTCCATTATGAAGTCCAAACTCTGAGAAGGCAGGCTGAACAAAGGAAGCTCCCTGAAGAACTCCGGCAGGGCCATCGCAGGGCTCTGCCCATCAAACCGGACCAGGATGAACCGCTCTCCAGCTCGACCCAGCAGATAGTCGGCCAGAATGCAGCTCAGCGATGCATCGAAGACCTCGGAGCACGTCAGTGACTGGACACCCCTGTTTACCCACCTCTTCCTTTCTTCTTCCGGTTTCCGCTGGGCAACTCGACAGCCCCATTCCTCGGCCCGCTCGCAGGCCGCCTGGGTCAGGACCAGCACCGCCTTGCCCCCACGCTGCTGAACCCGGTCCAGACAGGAGTGCAGCCAGGGCACGGGCCCCAGGGCGCTGATCTCCGAGCAGCTCCACAGGTCCAGAGAGACGCTGAAGCCCACGGCGGAGAGACTGGAGCACAGACGGCACACCAGCTCAGCGACGGCACAGTCCGCATCGGGAGGACACACCAGCAGCACCTCCACACCCCCCGCCGCAGCTGAAAACACATGACCGTCACTCACAACAACTACAGGAACTGACCAGCATGAGAGCTGAGAGCAAGAAGGAAACTCACGCTTCACATCGTCCATCTTCAGCCATCTGAACACGCAGCCTGTTATAGAGAGAGAAGGGTTATTAGCACTTCAGCTCACAAAGATACACATTTTACACAAAAATCACAATTGCAGCAAAAATCTAAATTGTATTGCGTAATCAACATAATCAGCGTTGTTTACGTCCAGTGTTGGGTAAGTTACTTTCAAAAAGTAATGAATTACTAATTACTAATTACATCATCAATATTGTATTTAAATTACTTTTCTAATTACGCTGTCTGAAAAGTAATTTAGTTAATAAGTAACTTTAAATTGTTAATTTTAGTTAAAATCCCTATAAACATTAAAGCAGAGACAATAGAAATTAAACTCTTTATTCTTTCAATTTGAGCCAAACGTGGAATAGTTTAGCCTTTTACTTTGAAAACAAATGTAATACTTAAACATTTTAACAAAAAAATGTAACCTTCTTTGGTTAACAAATAGAATTACTATGCAAAATATCTGAATGATTTTCAAAGCAATGAGTACCATATTTCATACATTTACAGTTGATCTCCTCCGCTGAATAAAGCCCATATTCGTTTTCGATTTGAGTTGGTTCATTTAAAAGTAGACACCTCAAGCTTTCTATATCTCTCATGGCTGTGTGTGTCAATCTGTAACGGGGCTGACGAGACGTGAGACGTGTGGATCCATCTGCAGGCTTTATTAAAGAGACGTGGTAAACAGGCAGGGTCAAACAATGGCAAACAGGTATATGGCGGGCAAAACACAAGAATAGTCCCAGGGCTAGCGTAGGTCACCGATCGGCAGACAGAATCACAGGGGCGAGACGAGAGGGAAAAATCCAGGAATACAGGCAAAGATCAGAAACCGCGGAAACAGGCAAGGCAAGGCAAAACAAGGAAAACACAGAGACTCGGAATGGGACTCGGAAAGGGGTACGGGCTAAACAATACTCAGCAGAGAAAGGTGGTTAGAGTGGGTGTTATATAGTGAGTGAGGTGATTAGAAACAGCTGTGTGCAATGAGTGCAATCAGTGCAGTGTGCAAATCGTGCAAAGAATGATGGGATATGTAGTCCGGGGTGCTATGCAACAGTTTGTGTTGTGCGAGAGTCAATGTAATGGAAAGGGTGACCTCTGGTGGTGAATAAACGGAAGTCCATGGACCGAATTCGTGACACAAGCATTCACTGAGTTTCGGTTCATTTTTGTGATGCGTTGCAGATAGAAGTTCACAGAGACAGAGACGGCAGAAAGCCCACCCTGTTTGTTTTCTTTATTTTACAAAAGCACAATGTTTTGTTGTTATGTAATGCAAGTACTTTAGAAGTAACTGTAATTAAATTACATAAAAATGAGCAGTAATCCCTACTTTACTTTTTCTGTGGATAAGTAATTTAATTACAGTAACACCCAACACGGTTTACATCAAAGACTATAGATATACAAAGACGGTTCACTCCTATACTTACGAATGGGAGAAACTGCAACGCGCAATATGGCGGAATAGTCCCGCCTACTAAATGAAAGAGCCAATCGCTGATTGGTAAAGTCATTGCATCACTGCAGCAGCCGTTAGAAGCTCCGGTTCCCATAGAAACCTGAGGCTAGAGCAGCCGATGCGCATGCGCAGTCATAATTGACTTGTCTAGTCTGAAAAATAAGCTTTTCTAACGCTATTTGAGCATAAGCAACAACATTCATGGGGCAGTTCATTTCAGATTTTGTTGCTGATTTGAAATATGAAAAATTAAAAGCAGCTCCTTAGTTTACCGCGGAAGCGGTTGCGGCTGCGGTCGTGTGAAGGCTTCCTCATGTGAAGACCGAAGAGTGTAAAGACCATCGACTCTACCGTGCGACTCCACCGGGCAGGACACCGGCAAAGGATAAGTATCGCTTTTTATTTCAAAGCGTCTGCTAAATGACTAAAAGTAAAGTAAAGTAAAAGTAAATATGTCATTAAATTGTGAGTTCACAAGGCAGTTTTTGATATATCTACTCATTTAGATAGGACTTGGTCTTGTTTGAGCTGCCCGGAGGCGTTGCAAATATGGCGGCCGAGGGAATGGACTTTTCCTGAAAGGGACTTTGCAGTAACTCAGCAGCAGGGCTCTTCTTCTTCTTCTTATGTTTTACGGCGGTTGGCATCCAGCGTATTGGTGCATTACCGCCACCTTCTGCTCCGAAGTGTGGATCAGAAAATAGGTTTGTTTTTGATATATCTACTCATTTAGATAGGACTTGGTCTTGTTTGAGCTGCCCGGAGGCGTTGCAAATACGGCCGCCGAGTGAACAGACTTTCCTTGAAAGGGACTTTGTTTACGTTCAGTAGACAGCGCGCACATACTGAACGTAAACAACGATGATTACGTTGATTACATTCTGGGTACGCTCCAAAATGGCGGAAGATGGTAACTCGGGGAGAAGAACTGTTGAATAAATTATGTTATTATTGTTTTCTTTTGAGCACAAAAAGACTATGTGCCTTGATCGTGTTAGTATCCTTGCTGTCTATAGGAGGGTCAGAGAGCTCTCAGATTTCATCAAAAATATCTTAATTTGTGCTCCGAAGATGAACGAAGGTCTTACAGGTTTGGAACGACATGAGGATGAGTAATTAATGACAGAATTTTCATTTTTGGGTGAACTAATCCTTTCAGCTC